TATATATATATGTTGTCCCTTCGTATTACTTAGGCCATCGGCGCGCCCGTGCAGTTGTTGCCCGACTCATATGTCTTCTTTTTTCTTTTTAAAAAATACTCGCGCACTCGAGGATCACGCCAATAACGACAAGCGTCGGCCATTCTATGCATGCGGCACCACTTGTTTTACCACCTTCTCCGCAACCTTGTGAAGTGCCCAAGACAACGTCCGAAGTGTCGTTCTGTGACCCCATTAGTCTTTCCAGCGCCTTCTAGTCGCCGTTCCGATAACGCGCGACTTCGCGCGCATCTTGCCATGGTGAACCACCAGCGCAAGGAATGGAGCCCCACAGCGAAATATGGGAGCCGCAATGGTCATCAATATTTGTCGCTCATATATATATATATATATATATATATATATATTAGAGAAAAAACGAAGCATACATTCCAATCATATCATGATCCTCTGTCACTTGCACCTCCGCACATCTGTGATCCACCGCGCTCCCTGGCCTGCCCAACCTGCTATTCGGCCCGCAACAAAAAATCAATAATAGCCTGCTGGGGCACGTGGGCGTTCCTCCCGAGGGTTCTGAAGCAGGCGTCGCCGAGGCGCCGCCCGCCCTGGGATCCTCGACGTAGCCAACGTCATCTTCAGTGGCGACGCGACTGGACTCTCCGGCCGCAACCATCTGCTCGCGAGGCAACGTGCCGATATTTTGCCTTCCCTTGTTCGGGCGCGCGAGCTTCTTCATTGCCTTCTTCCCAGCGATTTCCCCACCGGTGACCACTGGAGGACTTGGACCCCAGCCTCGGCGTAAGCACCCCCTCGGGTTTGATAGGTTGGGCGTTCTCACCGCCAAGAAGCGATCCCACGCCATAGCTACTCGCTGCCCAGATGGTTGGCGCGGCCACTAGAATTAAGTCAAACACTGGGGCACACGATGGACTTCTTTCAAACTCTGTGCAAGCGTCTTCGGCGTGGTCCTGTGTGGGGCAATGAGCCAAGTCGCCGATGCCTCTCGCAAGCTGTTCCACACTTGTTGCCGCGTCGATGCGACGTGTCAGCGGCAGGCGCATAAGCTTTTGCGACCCTCCAGCCATGCAGACATTTGCAACTGCTGATTGTCCCCCATAAACTCGGCTTTCGGGGACCATCCCAGAAGTCGTTCCCGCAGCGGCAGTGCAAGCAGAAGTCCCCGACGGATGCGATCCCTGCTTCGAGAGTGCAGTGCGACGTGGCGGTCTGTCTCCCCCAGTCGCAGCTCTGTAGAGGCCTGGGGTTGGGCCCCCACTATGTCTGCGCGTTGGCGCTCGTGCTCCGATGCGTCCTGATGTAACTAGCCGAATCAGCACCCGCATATTGTCTTAGCCCAACCAACTTATGCGGGTTTGCCTCCCGCCCAAGACACCATTCGGTAGCGTAGAGCCGCTTTGATGCAACGCGCGAGACGGAATACTTCCATGTATTGCTGTTCGGTCCATTTAGTAGCGCGCGGTGCGAATGTGCACGCTGCCCAGAGCAAGTCGTATCTGGCCATCCTGGCCCCATCGACAATCTCCATCAGTACCTTTGCTGCTATCGGACGCAGCAGTCCCGATGGGGCGGGCGGTCGAGGGTTCTGAAACCCATTTTCTACCATAGGTTGTCCACCCCCAACTGGCGCAGTGTCTTCTGGACCTACATGGGCGCCCACCCTTGGACAATCCGCTATGGCCTCCTCGTCTGGGTGAGCCCCCTCGCCACGGGGACCACCCTGCCCGCCCTCCAAGCTTGTCGCCTCGGGGCCGTAAGGAGTGCCAGCTAGCGGGGGGGCCCTGGGTTCCTCAATCTCGGTTTCACTGGCATAACCATCAGTCATCTCAGCCGGCCCGGCGGGCAAGAAGAAACAACTGAGGTCCTCGCCCCTCGGGCCCCGCACGGCAGGTCGACATGGGGCCGCCGATCGCGCGCCCCCGCCCCCCTGGACAACGAACGTCGTCGCCGGTGGAATTGTACAACAGCAGCGTTGCTATGTTTCTGGAGCACATAATACATCCTGAAGGTTTGGAATAAATCCTGTTCCGGCTGACTTCCTGTGGATTCGTTCAAACCCCCTATCATTACCAGTTGCCGCAATCCATTGCAAGCCGTGGAACTACTGACCTCAAATCAGGCCCCGTCGGCAGCGGCGGCCAGATGCATTTCGATTTGGCGTCGCACCTCACCCAAACACTTTGCCCGGGCGGAACGGGATAAGACCTGTCCGTGCGCGCCGGGTTCGCCCCTGCAGCCGTCGCCGAAGCAGCGCCATGGAAGCCGGCGTTCGCGGCCGCCGCGCCCCTTGGCCCCCTGACCTTCGGGGGCGGAGGATCTGGCGCGGCGGGGCCTCCATCCCGCCGGTCAATCCACAGTTCTGAAAGACTGCGCTCGCAACCCAAGCAACGTCGGACTGGCGCAGGCGGGCCCGCATCAAGAACAGCAGGCGCGGTCTCAGAAGGGTTCAAGATGAGGCCCCATCCTTCCGGCAAGTTGACGGCCGAGCCAGCCAATTAAATTCCTCGACGCGCACTATCGAGAAGAGCGTCAGCTCCGGGTGGCGGCAGCAAATGCGCCGCGACGGAATCGGTTCAAACCCGTTAGATATAACGTTTGCCACGCGATGCTTCCCCCAGTATCCACCGTCGTCAGGATAACCATTTTACGCCAGTCGAATAGGGCGCGCTGGGTCGCACTGACCAACTCAACTCTCGGGCCGTGCGTCCTTAGGCAGTCTCGCCCATGTTGGCGCCCCTCCCAACAGTGACTGAGTACGCGCCTGGCGCACATCGACCCGTCGTATATCATGCCCCAGGAAGAGACCGAATGCATCGGCGGCCCTCTTGCCTGCGCGGCAGCAGGGCAAGGGGAAAACTCTTGAGACAGTCCTACGTTCTTGTCTTCATCGAGGACGTCGGATTCGTCAAAAACAACACGCCTCTTGAATTGCCTGTCTTTACGTCCCCCAGGGAGTTCGGCATTTCTCTCAGCGAGGATAGCAAAGGAGCCCACCAATATCAGAGGCAGCACCTCCCATCATCTTTCGTAGCTGACTCAACTCCATTACCTTGCTCTCGCCCCAAGTGTTGATCTCGCGCAACCTGTCCCGCTCCTTCTTCAAAGCGGCGGTGGCCCCTTCACTGTTCGCTGCCTCGGCCGCGGCAACTGGTCTGACACCGCAGGCAGCGCTAGAAATATGCACAACCCACTTTGACGGGACGGCGAACGGATTCGACTCATCGCATCGGTCACACTTGTCAGTAAACGGATTCTAAAACGGTCGCACTCCCGGTTCCTTCTCCTGGCGCTGGTAACTGCTCGCGTCTTGCAACCTCAAGGGCATGCGAGGAAGGCAGCGCCTTCCGGCAGCTGCCGCGCAGGTCAAGCCTGCGGTGCCCCTTGCAGCCTTAGCTCCAGAGTCGGCGTGGGAGTCAGCGCTCACGTCATTCACCCCATCGCGACCTATCTTTTCCTTGTCTTCATCCGCAACGCCATTGGCATAGACATATGGCGCAACGGGGGGTGAGAGTTCCTCGCCCACGGCCGACCTGAGGGACTTGACCAGGGGGCATGGAATGGTGATACCGATCTCTTGAAGCAGGTCAGTGTTAGGGCCTGGATCTTCAAGCCCATAGAACCTCTGCTTTGAACTCGGCGGTCGGTCTTGCCCTAGCTGGGCCTCCCATCTTCCACCACCGTTCTGGATGAATACCTGGAATCGTCGACTCTGACCGAGTCCTCTTCAGCCAAGCTTTTCCGAACACAGGGTCCTCCGTTTCCACGGTACCTGGGCCCGGTATCGCGGGTCATCATAGAAAACCACGCGTATCTGAGTCGTCTTGTTCTTGCCCGTCAGCGGCAGAAGCTAACTCAGCTCTTCACGACTTTTGCCGACAGTGACGACGTGGCGCTCACAGTTTTCGCCCGTCTGTGGATTCTGGGCGGTTCGTGCCATGATCTGCTCAAACTGAGGTTCGCCCCGGTCCCGGGCCGCAAGAAAATTTGACGATCTTGCAGGTACTACTTCTCCCTAAGCCAATGAGCCTCCCATAGCTCTGGTATGATGCGCAGCTCTTCACCTGGCTCCCGCAGGCAACGGTGGAGCAGGAGGGGGTCCAGATGGTCCTTTGTCGTCAGTCGGGCCCCCCCTACTACTTCCACAACCGCCTCCCCCGTTTTCTCGTATTGGGAGGTTGCGGCGGTATCTCAGCCGCAACCTTGCTTCCAGCTGGTCCGCTTGACGAGTCGGATCCCGGATGGCAGCCCTCGCATGCGGCCGCCACCCCACTTCATCGCACACCTCACACGCTTTCTGGCCCCATGGGCGGCTCCACCTGAGGCCCTCAGTGGCAGATCTCGCATACCGCCGCCACCCCTCTTTGGCACACGTCACAAGTTTCGCGGCCCCATAAGGAGCTCCACCGAAGGCCCCTGTGGCAGACCTCGCATGCCGCCGCCACCCCACTTTGGCACACCCTTCACACGCTTCGTGGCCCCATAGGGAGCTCCACCGGAGGTCCAGTGGCAGACCTCGCATGCCGCCGCCGCCCCGCTTTGGCACACACGCCCTTCACATGTATCGTGGCCCCATAGGGAGGTGTACCGAAGGCCCCAGTGGCAGACCTCGCATGCCGCCATCAACCCACTTTGGCACACCCTTCACACGTTTCGTGGCCTCCTAAGGAGCTCTACCGAAGGCCCAACTGGCAGACCTCGCATGCGTTTTGGGAGCTCCAATGGAGGCCCCAATGGCAGACCTCGCAGACAGCCGCCACCCACACACCTCACACGCTTCGTCGCCCCACAATTAAGGCTGGCTCTTCCGCCAGGCCAGCTTGGAGCCCCGTGGGTCTCCCAGGGCAACCGGGGACGCTCTGGGAAACCCCGGCGCTTGACTGCCGGGTGCCCCGGGTGCGCTGCGGCCCCCGAGCCTTCGGGGCCGGATTTCGGGTGTAGGTAAAAGGAAGAGTTCACCTGGCGCAGAAGTTATTTTTCCACGGTGTGAAGAAGCATTCGGCGACGGCGTTGGCACTGGCGGCGGCGGCCGCGGAGCCGGCGGAGCTGGCGTGGGCGGCAACAACTCGGAGCTGGCCCCCGGCATGCACAACCTCCACCCGGTTTGCTGCAGACTGTGGTCGGAGGTCCAAGAAATACTCGCCGAGGGCGTTATGCCACTGGGGCCAGAAAACCCAGAATAGACCACTCCGTTAACGGTAAGCTTGTCATAACCACTCTCAGTGGTGAAACTCTCCACCGTGATGGGTACGGCCGTCCGCAGATCAATATGCAAGATGCACGCCTGGTTTGCATCATACTTCTGTGGGTAGTTCGGGCTCTGCATGCAGTCGCCGTCCAACGTGCAATCTCCAACAATAGCCGCCCAACTGTACTCCTGCCCCCCGCGGAACCCACGGGGCCTCTTGGGCAATCTTCGAGGCACCCAAGGCTGCCTTTGGGCGCTCTTGGGCAACGTCGGGACCTTTTTCGGACTGTCTTGGACCTCGTTTGGGGCCCTGGAGATCCTTCTTTCTTGAGACACTTGGAGTGCCTGGACGACCACCCGGAGAGACTCGCAAGGGCCCCGGTGCGGCCACGGGGGGTTGGGGCAGCTGTCCCGGGGGGCCCCAGAAACTGTCGCCAATTTGCAAAAATTTGGACCTCTGGAGACACGCAGAGATGAGAGAGAGAGAGGGAAATAACTTGGCTGAGTGTGGTCGTCGTGGGGTCTATTGGACGCATGCATGCGGATTCTCCCTGGATCCCATAGTGCAAGCCTCTGAGGCTGACTTGGTGGCATCTTGGGCTGCCCCGGTGCCCTCTTCGGCCAGTTGGGAACCCTCCGAAGCCCCGCTTCAGGGCATCGTGGGGGCCTATCATGCCGTCAGGTGTGCATCGTACACTGTCTTGGACGACCTGCAGCTAGGAACGTGGAGAACGCTGAAATACGACGAACCCACGGGAAGCATATGCGTTGGCCTCCAGGGACCTCGGGGCACTCTCCGGGCGCTCTGAGACGGAAGTCGTGGGGGCACAGCAATCAGCCCCTCGTGGAATCATCGGGGAGCGATCGTAGGATTTCGGGCCGTCTGGAGGCCATCGTGAAACGTCTTGAAGACCCTGCAAGGCGGATGAGGTGGAGGTCACTGATTTCCAAAAGCATATGTGCGCTTCGGAATATGAATGCATGGTGGGCTTGCTTCCCACTTCCACCACCATAAGCAGGAGGGGGAAGGGGGTCCTCCTCCTCCTCCTCGTGTTCCTCCTCCTCCTCCTCAACCTCCTCCCCCCCTCCAACTGATGGTTGTGGTGGCAAACAGGCCCACCAATTCCAATTGACAACCCGCTTCGCCCCAGCGTGCCCTCCGAGCGCACGTCGCGATCGGAGGTGGACTTCTCTCTCGCGCCGCGGGGCGCGCGTGCGGACTGCGTAGACTCTCGGGCGTTGGCCGACATGCCCTGCTCTCCGGGGGAACGAAGCCTCGGAGATTCCTCCCAGGGCCCCCACAAGTCCCAGAGAGTCCCCGAGAGGCTCCCGCAGAACTTTCCACTGCCCTCCGACCCAGCGGGACGGCACGGCTGCCCACCAGGATACGAGGAGTAAGGGGACCGAACAACGGCATGACCGTAACAAAAACTCAAGAGGTCCGCGCGGATTTCTCGGATCGGCGCTGGGGCCCACTGGCGGCGCCTCCGGCGCCGCCCCTGGCGCGCTCCGCACGCCAGGGAGGGGGGTCCAGCGCCGATCCGAGAAATTCGTGCGGACCTCCGAGTTTCGATGTTTATATAATTTGTCGTTCCCCTACTCTCGTGCCCTGGTGGGCAGCCGTGCCATACCTCTCAGGGCCTCCCTGGGCTGTCTTCGGGGCCTTCCTAAAATGTACGAAGAATGCTCTTCCAATGTTTAGAAGCTGTTGTTCTACATGCTTAAGACATGCTTGAAACCTTGTCTCGACATCTGGAAACTATTTGGCAGCATGCTTCCTCTCCATTGGTCGTCTTCCACAAGCTTATGGGCCGAGGGGCACCGAAAGCCAGGCGAACACCCACGCATTGGCGGGGGGGGCCAGCACGCAGCGGCCCTTGCGCCCGCCCTTGCGAGGCGGTCAGGCCCCCCCCCAAGGAGGAAGAGGACGAGGAGGAGGAGGAGGAGGAGGATAGGGGAGGAGGAGGGGGCGGAGGAGGAAAAGGAGGAGGAGGAGGACCCCCAAGCTTAGCGTTTGCCACGACTCTTCACCCGCAGACCCACCCGCCCCCTGGCCAACCCGTGCGCGCAGGGCACCCCATCGTTTTGCGAAGCTCGCGGCGACCCTGCTGCCGAGACAGCCTCGAGGGGTGATGGTGAGCGTTTTTTTAATTCGGCGTTTGTTTTTAATCGGCGTTTCGACATTGGGGGGGTGGTCTGGCTCCGGACCTCTGCTTAGTGCGGCTGTTTGCGACCGTGCGTCCTCTGGGGGAGGGGCCCCACCTGCTCGAAAGAGGCGCCAAAAACACTCAACATCTAATCACTCCAGGGGGTGGGGGGCGGCGAGGGCCCGCGCCGATCGGCAAAACAACGAATAAAGAAACGATCACGTGCCATTAAGCGTTTTGCGCCTGTGCCACCCGTCGCGTCCCCCTGGCCTAGCGTCTATCCCCAGACGGCACGACCCCCCTGGGTCATCAGGCAACGCTCCCTGTGGGTTCCTGATGCCCTGGAAAAGTCCAACGCCCACTAATCAGAGGAAAGGAAGAAACGTGTCGGGCGATACAAAGCCAAATTGTTTCAATCATGCTGAATAGCGCTTGATGCACTACCATTTGACTCACACATCAAAGTGGTCGATTGATACATGGTGCGTCCCGTGAAACTGCACAGATGTGGAGAGGAGGAGCAGGTGTGATGTAGTCTATATGGTGCAATCCAAGTGATGCAGTCCATGCGGTACGTCTCTTGGAACTTTTTCGAGCTGTCTTGAAAATCTTGGCTCAACAAAACAAATATGCGAAAATAGCCAGGATGGTCCAATGCTGCTTCTAACATGCCTCCTAGAAGCCGCAAGACCGCTCCAAGGCGGCTACGGGTGGCCAAGAAGCCCCTCAAGGAGATCCCCGAGTGATCAACATTACGATTGTTCCGAATTGCTTGCCTTCTTACTGTTCAAGTGAAGGAGTTCGCTAGAGGCCTCAAGGTAGCTCCAAAATAGCCCGAAGGGGTAACAATATGCGCCAATGAACGCCCCAAGACGGCAAGAGTACACCAAGAGCACCGCAAGATGGCACCAGGAAGCGAATCTCGGGCTTCGACGGGGGGGCTGTAGTCGGCGTTGCTCCCGTTTCTGCACGATGCCCTCCAAGATGGCCCCAACAAGGTCCCCACAGCGTCCAAGATGGCTCCAAGATAGATCCGCGTGAGCTTCACGATGGCCTTAAAGGACTTCAAGAGGATCCCCAAAGAGTCCCACAGAGAGCACAAGATACATCCGAAATGCCCGAACAGGGCTCAAAAGAGGTCCCTCGAGGTCTCGAACTGCAATGTTGTACGCCTCAATGTTTCATTACATGCTTATCTGCGCTTCTCTTTCATACAACTCCCCTTGGCATCACATGTTGGTGGGGAAGCGCGAATGGATAGACATTGGTGTCGGCCTCCGCAACGCTGGATGCCTGGCGTCTCCATACCACGCTCGTTTCTGCACGGGGGTCCTGGCGGCCGCTCCGTTCTCTTGGTTGGGATTTGGGGACCTGTTCTGGCGTTTTTGGGTGTGTTTTCCACACTGCCACTTGCCGTGGTCCCCTTCGTCTCTTCATTGCCCGTCCCTCCTTCCCGCGCTCACTCGCCGTGTGGGGCTCCTGAGAGCCTCTTGTGTGCGTGGTGGGGGCGCCTTGGGGGGGCCTTGGGGCCCCTGGACGGGGCCCTGGGGGCCCCTTGGGGGTCCCTGGAGGGCGGCGTGGGGGCCTCTTGGGGCCTCTTGGGGGCCCCTTGGGGGCGTCTTTGACGCCCCTTGGGGCCTCTTCGGGGGGGCTCTTGGGGGCCTCGTGGGAGCTCGCGGGGCTCGTGAAGGCCTCTTGCGACTCCTGGGGGCCTCTTGGTGGTCTCCTGATGACGTTTTCGGGACGCCTCGGGGGCCTCTCGGGGGCCTCTTGAAGCATCTCGAGCGCCACTTGCGGACTCCTGGGGTCTCTTGAAGGCGTTTTGGGGGCCGCCTCGTGAGGGCCTCTTGGGGCTCACCTTGACGCCTCTTGAGGGCCACTGGGGCGTTGGGAACCCACGTGTGTTCGCGCTCGTCCCGCTCTGGGGCGTTAAGAACTCACGTGTGTCAACGCTTGGCGCCCACGTGTGTTCACGCTTGTCCAGCTCCGGGGCGGTAGGAACGCACATGTTTTCACATTTGTCCTGCTCTGGGGCGATAGGAACCCACATGTGTTGACGCTTGTCCCGCTCTGTGGCGTTAGGAACCCACGCTAGGGCGTCAGGAACCCACGTATCTTCGCGTTTGTCCCGCTCTGGGCCGTTAGGAACCCACGTGTGTTCACGCTTGTCCCGCTCTGTGGCGTTAGGAACCATGTGTCTTCATGCTTGCCATGCTCTGGGGGGGCAGGAACCCAAATGTTTTCACGTTTGTCCCGCTCTGAGGCGTTCGCTCGGGCAATGTAAAGGAACACGCGTAAGACGCAAAGGATTCAAGTCCCAGGAGAGGAGAGATCAAAAGGACAACACAAGCGTGTCGTTCGAGACCTCCTCAACATAATCACCAAAGCAAAGCGTTTCACCCGAGACAACCGCGACAAACGAAAATGATCGCTTCACCATGTGCTTTATCCGTCGGAATTTCAAAACGCAACGTTTCGCTCGGGAGACCCTCAAACTTGAACCCGGCGGTCCTCTTTGACCTCATTGTTCATCACAGAAGAATACACCGGCCTTCGTCGAACTTGGAACCGGGGATAGGTGTACCACACTGAAAGAACCCTGGGCCTATCCCCTTTCTAACAAACAGTCGGTGTGCCTCCCCCCCGCCCCCTAGACCCCGCGGAATCAGAAACGAAGCCATTACGACGGGACCGCGCCCCCAAGGTCGATCTCTCGTAAATCACACTGCGCCCACTCTCCCTGGGCCACGACCCTTGGCAAACTGCGCTGCGTCCGACTCCCAAGACAACGATCCCTCGTACATTACGATGCGTCCGCGCTCCAGGACCACAATTCCTTGCGAATTGCACTGGGTTCACGCTCCCAAGGCCACGAGGGCCTGGACACGTGAAAGCACGTGGCCCGGGCGAGGGACCGCCATGTTAGATACCCCTCTGGGTGGCCTTGACATGTAAAAACACGTTGTTCCATCTGGGGACAACCATGTTAGATACCCCCTGGGCGACCTGGGCACGTAAAAACAAACATTTCGCCTGAGGCGT